AGAGGCGATTCAGCTACTGAGGGTGGATTTCCCAACTCTGTACAGGGTGCCATCCACTCTCTGAGCCTGAGTTTTTCAAACGCTGCTTCTCCATACTTGGAACAACACTGTACACTGGGATTTCACTCAATAGATTGATTAGAATGCTATTCTTATTCAGGTGAAGATTTTTTAAGATTTGCAAAGTGAAGTTTACAGCCCTGGAGATTGCTGGTATTTGGAAATTGCAATGAAAAATAAATAAATATAGTTTTATCCAAGGTTAATAGTTTGCTCACTGCATGATAAGGGTTTCTGTAATTTGAGTGCCATTCATTATGGGTTAATCTCCTGCAGGTAGAAGGGAACTTTATCATTACATCTTCATTTGTTTAGGCTCATTAATTTTAGCCCTTTTGTTTACCCAAGTCAAAAGTTTCTTTCAAAACTTTTATTTTACAAGCTAAGCAGAAGTAAAGTTAGTGTCCCAGTAGCTTGGGTGTTTTATACTTGGAGTAAACAAACAGGAGAGAGAAAAAGAAAAGACAAGATAATTAAATGAGGAGGCAAAATTGATTTCTTTGGAAGTTCATCTGGTAGTGTCTCTTTGACCTTGTTTGGAACATGATCAACATACTGAAATTGCAGTAAATAATAATAAAAATATTTCCTTTTTACTCAGTAACAAAATGTAATCATGGTAGTCTTTAGAAGGATGCATTTGCAAATAATGGGGGAAGAATAAGGTTGGTTAATTAGTTGAAATGATGCAAATTATTTATAATAGCCTGGAGAAATGGCAAGAGAATTTTGGAGGCAAAAAGTGCATTACTCTGATGGATATAGACATGGGAATCCCTAGTTTAAAGTTAAGCAGAAGCAAAACTTGCCCAGGGCAAATGATTCCTCTAAGAATTGTAAGGTTGGCAGTAAGTGGTGAAGTGGTTAAGAGCTCAGGCTGCTAACCAAAAGATCAGCAGTTGGAATTCACCAGCCACTCCTTGGAAACCCTATGGGGCAATTCTACTCTGTCCTATAGGGTCACTATGAGTCGGAATCGACTCGATGGCACACAGCACCACCACCACCACTGTGTGTGGCATTTTTATTGGAATATATGTAATCTCTTACAGATTAAAAATTTTCAGTTATATGAAAATTAATATGCTTAGGAAAAGGAAATAAGAGAGCAAGAAACAAGTACTAGGAACAAAAATCTCCAAAGCTAATTGAAAAA